CAGGAGTTTGCAGATCTGATCAGGAGTAGAAGTAGGGACCAGCAGGAGGCAGAGGCAAGTAGGCTCGTGCAGCCCAGACCCGGGTGCGTGCTGGATTGTCCCGGACGCCGTCGAGCAGGCTGCGTCTTGCTCCACGGGTGAGGACACTGATCTGCGGCAAGCTCAGCTCACTTGCCCAAAGCCTGTGGTTAGTTAGGAGCTAAGAGGGCAGGAGGGCCTCATTCCCAGACAGGCGGCCAACTTTCCACTCTGCTGCTTCAAACGGGCACAGGGATGGATCAGGAATCCCAGCTGCCCTCCAGCTGTGGGGTCGGTGGAAACCGCAAGCCCTCCTTGTGGGTTGGGATTACAGCCCTTCTTTTCTGGAAACAGTAAAGATGCCTCTTTGGAGCAACTTTAAGCTGACTTTGGAATCTCATATATCTCCTCTTCAATGAGATAAAGCACCAACCTCACAACAACGAGCGAATCTACTAACACAATTGCTGACCGGAGGCTGGCTATGACACCGAAGGTGGTGGACTCTGCAGGGAAGCAGAAAGAACTAGGGAATCCCCCCTTCACTCCCCAGACTCAGTCTCTTCTAGGAGTTTGATTTTTATCTTAAAGGGAGAAATACCTGTTGGATTTTTTTTTTCCTTCCTTGCTCAGCAAGGAAGGATGTTTCCTAAGCATCAGCACGTGCAGGATTGACTGCACAAAATTGTCTGTGTGGACTCTGAAATTCTACAGGTTGTCGGCAAATTAAGGGATACTCCAGGATATGTTCTTTGACTGTGTGCCCTAACTTGAGAACCACCCCCCTCCCCACTCTCAGCCAAGGAAGATGCACCTATTTGTCCCTTCAGTTAATGACCTCGAGAGTTCATGTGCAGCTGGTGACATCATGCTTCTTTTCTTTCAGAAATATCACGGTCTCTTTTTAAGACTGAGCATTGCTGTGCAGAAGTGGGATTCTCCTGATGCCGTAGTCTTCATATCTGCTTGCTATTTGCTGGATCTGCGGATGCCTGTTGGGAAAATCCTTTTGGTGTTGAGCAGTATCCTCAGGACTAAGCAGTTGGGATTCTGGCTGTGACCAGAATGGCCTTTCAAATGCGAAAGGTCATGATGGACCACTTGACTCATCAAGGGATCATGAGCTCAGAGGGTCAGATCTCCAGATCCCAGAACTGGGGACAAAGATCACAATGGTAGGTTTCTGGCTCCCATCAATTCTGTCAATGCTACCAGTGCTTATTTTAGGGTTTGGGTTATTACGTCAATGGGGGTGGGGGTAGTGGTAGGGAACCAAACTGGGAGGGGGGAAAACTATTCAATATGTAAAATGGAAAAGGGCTTAGCCCATGTGGACTTCCAGAAAGTTTCTCCTATGAGCTGGTTGCCAATCATTCAATTCCCTACTCCCCAGGTGTCTGCCAACAACATTTCTTAAGGTTCCCACGAGCTCCGTGGGCCTCCATCTCAACTGAGATGCCATTTACAATTTCAGGGTCATGTGGAGGACTTAGTCATGTTATGTGCATTCTCTTCCCATCAGCATGGCCTTATGTTGAGTTAAAATAATGAGTTGGTATTTGAGAAGAAATCATCTCACATTTCTTTTAAAAGTGAATTCAAATTCCATTTAAGTGTATTCTTCCACATTATAGTATCGTATAGATGAGATGCTGCAACTCATTTTCATGGTCTGTGTCTGTATAGGTTTGCTTTATGGGTATGAAGCTGACGTAGACTGTGGATATCAGACAGGATTCCTCAGGAGAATCACCCCAAGGGAAGCAGAAGAGGAATTACAATAGAGGACGTCTTCTTAAGAGGAGACACCCAAAGGCTGAGAGACATCAGTACCGACCCTTCATGTGCCTGAACTAGAGATTAAGTACCGTACTGTGGCTACACCCACGTGAGTCTACGACTATTCCTTTTTGGTCAGTCACATGAGATATATGAGCACAGACTGTTAGGACTGAAGGGAACTTGAGAGCAGGTGTAATCTGCCTGTACCAGTCAGGGTTCCACGTGAGCTGGAAGGGACTCATCACCAGGAACTGGCAGGGAGGGCCAGAGGAGTGGGATTGAGCTGGGCCTCCTGGAATAATTCCCAGGACATCCCAGCACTGACCCTCGCCACATTCTGGAAGGTGGGAACAGAGGGCTGCCCCAGAGAGCCCGACTTTCGGAACATACAGCACAGCTGCAGTCCAGGGTTAGGGCGCGGAGATGGGGACGCTCCTCCGCAGCTGCCTGCTCCCTGGAATGTGGAGTCTGGCTGCGGCTACTGCCCTCCCAGCTTCCCTTCAACGCCACCAAAGCCAGTGATGGGACTCTGGAAGGCCGAACCTGGCTACTGCTGCCCGCTGCCTCTTAACACTCAGGAAGCTGGGGTCTTGATGTTGACTTCTCCATGATCATGTGTCCATGTTCAAGTGCGCTTGAAGCAGAGCCTGAGACAGCGTGCTGTGCAGGTGATTCCTGAGGGAGAAACCTGGAAGTGGGGGGGCAGGGAGGGCGAGGGCAGGAGAAGACGCCACACAGGCTGAGGGCTCGGGGGAGATCAGCCTGCTTCCACGGGAGCTCTGGACTGTGATTCATGCTGCGGAGTTGTCTGGCCCAGAGCAATGGCCTGCGGTGTTGTGTCCCCCACCAGTCAGTCACTGGCTGTGGGCCACCCCGGGGAGATGGGCTGAAACCCTGTATTTCGCCACACAGGCTGAGGGCTCGGGGGAGATCAGCCTGCTTCCACGGGAGCTCTGGACTGTGACTCATGCTGCGGAGTTGTCTGCCCCAGAGCAATGGCCTGCGGTGTTGTGTCCCCCACCAGTTAGTCACTGGCTGTGGGCCACCCCGGGGAGATGGGCTGAAACCCTGTATTCGGTACTGTCCTTCCCTAAACCGAAAGGAGATAATCCACGGGAAGGAGTGAATGATGTCTTTACTCTTCAAACATAATTTTGGAAGGATCTCAAAGTCCAAAATACCCTTCAGCTATCTCTGGACATTTCCCACTAACCAATCTTCTGGGTGGGCCACGTGATAGAACAGTGAGAGATCTGGGGGTGTCCAAGGCTGGGTTCTGATGCGGGCTCTGCTACTCAGGTGGACAATGATGATGTCACCTACCCTCTCTAGGTATCGTTGCTCTCATCTGTCGATTGGGACCCTGTGGTATCTATGGCTGTGTAAACGATCATCACAAACTTGGGGGCTTATAACAATATACATTTACTAACTGGGGTCAGGAGTTCTGGCATGGCTCAGCTGGGTCCTCTGCTCAGGGTCTCAGGAGGCTGAAAGCTGGACGTTGGTTGGGGCTGCATTCCTTCCTGGAACTCAGAGTCTTTCCAGAGCTCAGACAGTTGTTGGCAGGATTCAGTTCCTGCAGCTGTGGGATTGGGGTCCCTGTTTCCTGGGCAGCTCATCAGGGCTGCTGTCGGTCCCCAGAGCCTGCTTTTCCTTGCATGTGACCCTTATGCAGCATGGCAGCTTAGTTCATCAAGGGTGCGTCTTAGTCCCTTTGGGCTGCTATAACAAAACATTATAAACTGGTGGATTACAAACAACAAAAATTTATTTCCCACAGTTCTGGATGTTGGGAAATCCAAGATCAAGGTTCCAGTATATTCAGCATCCGCTAAGGCCCCACCTCCTGGTTCATAGATGGAGCCTTCTCACTGGGTCCTCACAGCGAAGGGCTGAGGGGCCTCCCTTAGGTCTCTTTTATAAGGACAGTAATCCTGTTCATAAGAGCTCTGCCCCCATGACCTAATCACCTCCCGAAGACCCTACCTCCTACTATCATCACCTTGGGGGTGAGGATTTCAACAGATGAATCTGGAGGGGGCACAAACATTCCAGACCATAGCAGTCAGCTAGAGAATCTCTCTCTCCAGTCTGCTAAGACAGTCTAGGGAATATAAAGTGACGGCTGGAATGACTTTTTGCCACCTCTTCCATACAAAGTAACCAAGGCTGGGTTCTGATGCGGGCTCTGCTACTCAGGTGGACAATGATGACGTCACCTACCCTCTCTAGGTATCGTTGCTCTCATCTGTCGATTGGGACCCTAATTTCACCTAACCCCAAATGGCATGTATCTATTTAACAGGGTTTTGAGTGGGATGTTCCTGATAAAATGAGATACTGTGTATTAAAGTATTTTGAACTGTGGAAAGCTTTGTAGAAACACCAATTCTGATTCGAGAATTTTCTTGAAACTCCGAGCAAAATAACCAGTCTTCTTCCCCTTGTTTGCATCCCTCACAATCTGAATCATTATGTGGAGAACTTAAAAAAAAATGTGGTCTCCTTTTTTTGCCTTTTCACTGGCAAACAGAGCTTTGGTTAGAGGAAAACCCAGGCAATTTTAATGACTGGTTTTTATATTTGAAAGGAGAGGTTATTAGGAGAAGTCTCAATTCAGAAACTTCAAGAAGAAATAGGAGGGTGTGGCGAGGGTGGGGGGATTGCATTTCCTGTTTGCCTTCCAGATGGTGTTGGAAAACGTTGCAGGAGAACCATGGATACCCATGAAGACATTCCAAAATTCATTCTTTCTGCCACCAGGGGCCCAGCCCAAAAGGTGACAAGTAGAAGTGGTGTTTTTTTTTAAGAGCTGGGGTTTGCAGAAGTCCACCTAAAGGCTTGTAGGGTGAAGACAGCGTTCAGAGGGTGACATCAGCCCGCTGCAGGGGCCAGAAGCAACAGAGCGCAGGAGTCTGGTTTTCATTTACAGTTTGGGTCAGTCCCGTGGTGGGGAGGGGGAGAGGAGGGGTCGGGCGGAGGGGAGGGACGAGGGGAGGAGGAGGAGCTGGAGGAAGCCCTGACTGTATCCCTGGCCCCGGTCCAGTGTGGAGCTCAGTCTTGCACCACAGGCCGCTCAGTTCTCCTGGGCTCCAGGCGCCCGCAAGGACGGCCAGAGGAGCTCGCCTCTGCAGCTCTCGGAGCCCCCTGCACTGTGGTGGGAAAGGCTGCGGAGAGCAAAGGAGACGCGGGGACGGGGAACATGTGCATCCTGTCCAAACAGAACTGAATCTGGAAGGCCAGGGACACGCACGTCTGCAGACTTGCTCAGGGGTGAGTGCGATTTGCCCTGTTTCCCGGGTTAGCGGGCGAGAAGGAGAGGCTCGGAACCTGAGGGGCTGTTACTAGGTGGCTCTAGGGGCCCCTCTGCTCACTCTGTTTGTCACTTTTCCGTACGTGTTTTAGCTCTCTGGAAGATTCTGCTGTTTTTTTTTTCTTTCTCACTTTGTGGCAACTGGGTTGCCTTAACTTGGTTACGATCCTGGGCTGCCTAAGAGCGGGACTGGTTTTCAGCTGTGCGTCTGCAGGCTGTGGCTCTGCCTGTGGTTCCCAACTGCGGCAGGGTTCGGCTCGTGATTTACTGGAAGTTGTTTCCTGCTTCCAAAACCCACTTGGAACCTACTTTGTTTGCAGAAGTGTCTTTGTCGAGGGCGGCAAGAGCTGTCGAGCGGCTGCTCTGGGAGGTCCTCTCTGGGCTCTTTGAGTGCAGACACCAGGTCAGGGTGCATCCAGCGCAACTTCTGCCCTGGGCCACCCCGGGGAAGGGGCAGTGGAGCACATTTGTCACCTACACGAGAATGGGTGACTCTAGTGCCCAGGCTCAGGGCCACACCCCAAGTCACTCTGTCAGCACTATCAGGATTTTATCTTTCCAGGAGCCTGAAGTCACTGTTGAAGACTTTGTCCTTTGGGGTTGCTATAAGGAGCTGCAGGGTCAGAAGAGGAGAGGATTTTGGTGTTGGGGAACACACCAAATGGATAAGGCAGGGCTCGTGGGGCCTCAGGGCTGGCCTGTGTTGCCCAGATGTAAGGCCAGTGCCAAGCTAGGAGGCCCGATGGCTGCTCCCTGGCTGGGAGGACACAGGGTGGGGCTCAGGTTCTCTCTCACTGAGGGTGGAAAGTGTTTGTGGACAGTTGCCAGCCTGCTGGGGATCTGTTTCAAGGGCCTACTCTGTTAGAAAATCGAACGGGATGGAAGCAGGGGTGGGGTCACTGGGAGGGCCCCGTGGAGTATCGGGGAGTGGTCCAAGGACCAGCTTTTCACAGCAAGCCCAGGAAACAAATGTAGAGGCTGGTCTGAACCCCAAGAACAGACTTCTCTGGGGGTAGGAGAGTATCCTGCATCCCCTGCCCACCAACTTCTCTCCCTCCATGCAGCTGAGTCCAGATGAGAACCACAGCACTGAGAGCAGCAAGGGAGCTCCTATGGGGTATCCTCAGCATGAGATCCCACAACTTCCCAGGGGACCCATTCTCAATACTGCAAAAAAACTGAACAGAAATGACTTTAAAATCAAAATTATGTGGCTACTAATGAAAGTGATCTCTAAAATTGGTTGGTTGGCGGCTGACAACATTACTGAACTTCTGAGTTCTTTGCTGGGCTAAAGACAATGGAAGAGAGTGTTGGTTGGAAGCCACTGATGTAGTCCTTCCCTGGTTTTAAACATGAAGAATCAGAGGCTCTGAGATGCTAAATTACTTGCCAAGCAACAGAGTGAGTGGCTGAGATGACAGTAAAATCTTTCACCATTGCAGGAGAGCAATAGACCAAGCAAACTAATTTACAACTAGATTTGGGATGTGCTATTTGATTTGCTCCCCCAGAAGAGGATTTCCTCCTGTCACATTCTATTAAAAGTAATGGGAAGATTGGTTTAGGCTCCCTAAGGATCTACCAACTAATGCAGAGAGAAGTGAGCTGGACCGCAGGGAAGGAGTGTCACTCTGTGCCTGGAATACCAGAATAAGCCTCCCATATTCGGGCCACCTCCAGGGTGTGGAGGGCCCCTAGGGATGGGACCTGACTTTGCCTGGTTCTGTAGTGGGCTTGTTGCTGAGGGTGAAGGCATAAGGGTGGGGAGTTGGGTTTTTGCAGAAATCCAAGATATAGGACTAATTGTGTGTCTGGACATCTTCTTTATTGAGGCAAAGTTTTTTTTAGTAAAATGAGGTTTATTTCTCTCTTTCCCTCACTCCTGGCAGTGAGAAAATATTAAGCAGACATTGGGTGGGAAAGAGGATTGGGGGGAATGCCACGGTGGGGGGTGAAGTGTGGCTTTCCTGTTCTCTCTTTCCCTCACTCCTGGCAGTGAGAAAATATTAAGCAGACATTGGGTGGGAAAGAGGGTTGGGGGGAATGCCACGGTGGGGGGTGAAGTGTGGCTGTCCTGGTTTTTTCCTATCTGGGAGTTGGAGGGTCTGGCCACAGCACCTTCCTGGGAGATAGCTGGGGAAGCCTCTGGAATGTTAGCCCGTGGCCAGGCTCTTCCCCCACTGGGAGGGCGTGTGCCCCACCCCACCATGATTGTGGCCCTCAGGTGATGGGACCCACAGCACCTTCCTGGGAGATAGCTGGGGAAGCCTCTGGAATGTTAGCCCGTGGCCAGGCTTTTCCTCCACTGGGAGGGCGTGTGCCCCACCCCACCATGATTGTGGCACTCAGGTGATGGGATATATGGCAAATATTCAAATCTGGGTTCTTAGTGATATTTTTCATACGAGGTTAGCATCTCTCTGGATAATAGTCTTTGCTTCTGCACTTTGCTACTTCCGAAGTGCTAAGGATTCTCTACATCTCATATCATAAGTGCATTCTGTGATTTCATATTGTAGAATTTGATATATCACCGATAATAAAGTAGGAAGAAGCCCCTCTATTCAATTGATTGTTGATTATCGATTTGTGGTTCAAATGACGCTTTGAATCCTGACCTTAGTTTTGGGTGTGGAGCCCACAGACGCCGATACTTAAAGCCAATTTGAAATAAGACGTCCTTCCTCTTGGAAGTTGGTGGAGAGTTTTTGCCACTGAGGCTGAATTTGTTTCCTTTCTCGGAGTGTTTGGACAGCTGGATGAAGTGTAGTCTTTACCAGCGGTCTGGTCACCACCCACTTTTACGTGAAATTCCACGTTTAGGATTTAAAATTCACCAGCAAGTCACGAATTCTGTTGCATGAGACTTTCTTGCAGGCATGCTAACAACTTTTGCAAAAAATTTTATTTGAAAATTAGTTTCTGTCACTGTTCCTTTTAGAAGAAGCTGAGGATTTGGTCTCTCTTGGGGAAGAATTGCAGGAGTTTTCCTATCTGAATGGGACGCTGTGTACCAGGCAGCTTTTCCATGCTGACCTATGGGAGCAAACTCTTCACAGTGTCCTGGTGGTGGCAAGCAGACAGTAAAAAACACACCACTGCTACATAAATAGTTGACAATCTGAGGAGTGACCAGATGTTTAAAAGGATCCTACTAGTAGCTCTAGCTAAGGAAACAAAAGCCCCAAATGGTTAAAGTTTTAAAGCAGGGGAGCTTTGAAAGTTTCCTGCTAGTTTGGACAACGTGAACTGGACATGGGCTATTCTTTCATTCCTCTGTTTCTAGATAGTTTCTCTGTTTTCACTATAAAAATTCAGGGAGGCAATTCTACTCCTTAAATAAAAGACATTGCTTGCTCCCTCTAAACTATGGTAATGAATGTCTTATTCTCAGGGAGTCCCCACAGGTCCTGATTTTGGAAAGAGGGATTTACTTCAGGAATTCATTATGTTAATTTTTGAAAATATGATTTTTAATGCATCGTGGTCTCAGGGGTCTATTTTAGACAGAAGATGAAATGTTGAATTCGCACATTCATCCTGGGACAGCCCTTTCTGAAAATGCAGTTTGGTTTTCTGTCCTCCAGAGGGCAGTGTATCCCTCTGAGTGCCACGAAAGTCTCAAGGTGGTGCCTGGAGCCTCTCAGGGTGGGGCTTCAGGTTTGCAGCGAGTCAGCGGGGTTCAGGGATGCACTCCTGAGCAGAGCTGGTGGGTAATGTGAGAACCGACCCAGAGACTGTTCCAATACCTTATCATTATAATTATTGTTAATGTGGCTGCTCGTAGTATCTGAAGTGGACATAAATTTAGAGTTTTGTTTTTCTTCTATGCTCAGGAGCGAGTGTATTGAGATGAAATCGTTCCTTCAAATGAGGCATTCTGTGCTCTAAAACAATGCCTTGCATTACAAGGGCATTAAGCAAATGAGAAATTTTAAAGGAAACATTTTACCCGTATTTAATTACAAAAGTCAGGTGCTTGGGAACCAAAGCAAGTTTGCATATTCAGGCCATGCTGTAGCTGTGCAGAATTTTCAAATTTTAGAACTGGAAGTATTATTAAAATGAACTGATCCTGTAACTACCAAACTTTTCCTTACCTGCTTTTTGCTATTTTTGCCTAATGGACAACTGGTTATGACATACTTTTTAAAAAAAATTGTACAAACTACAATTAGGAACATCCCATTTTAAATACTTGTTAATAAAAATTATTACTGGCTCTCAGACTTACGATTGTTAGCCTGAGATAACCAGTGTTATGACCCCGAGGTACAGAATGCGAGCTCAGCACAAAGACACCTAACTCTTTAGTGGGTCTCTGTGTTCTCATATCCATTTAAACTTTCTATGTACCAAGCTTTAAGGTCAGGGGAAGGGATAAAAATGACTAAGACATAATCACTGCTCTTCTGGTTGGCAAATATGTGATTTCTATTTGGCTCTCTGAAATATCAAAAAATTACTATCTAGATGGATGCTTTCTGCACACCCTTTACACTTCAGATGAAAAAACGGAGCTCAGAGAGGGGAGTGCTCAGTGCTAAGGCCACAGCGCAAGAAGCAGAAGCAAACCCCATGTTTTCTGAGGGCTCTGCACATGTCTGATGTATTCTGATGAGCAGATATCTGGGACCCGGCACATTAAAAGGGGGACAAGCCTTTTATATTTTACAGTGTCATGTGGAGAAAGGCATTCTTGCCCTTTACCAGTCTTCTTTGGAGTAGCATCTTTTAAGTTGATTTAGCATGGCGTAACAGTTGTTTAAAAAAAAATTGGAAAGAAAAAGGAGAGAAGAAAAATAAAACAAATAATGAAAAGTTCTGCCAAACCCTCTCCCAAAGGCAAATTGTTAGTCTTGCAGGGGTCTGGCTGCATTTAGCATAGCATAAACCCACTGTTTTCCTGAAGTTTAAGACTCATAAACTACAGAGAAACATTTGAAAGTTGGGAGTG